TCTAATTCCTACCATACGGGCCCTTAAATCCATCATTTAACACGCAGCTGCTCTGAAGTATTTCAGACATGTTCTTCTTCAGATTATAACAGAGGCAGTATTGTTAGACAGTGGTCACCGTGACATGTGTGAAACTTTTCTACTCCACCTGTTACAAATTCACCAGTCCATCAGATAAAATCAAACAAAAAGAAGAACTCCTATTCTAATGAGCGTCATTTACATTCTATCTAAAGGTGCTTTCCCCTCCTTCTGCTCTGTAATCTGTTTCACTCAGTTTGTTGCTCAGACATTTAGTCATCGGACCACCCTGCTGCTTCACACAAAGGTCACAACTGAACAGACTTCGCATGGGTCTTTCCCATCCGCACATTGAGGAATTTTGCTTTAAACCATCTGCTTAATAGCCGCTTTGTTTTACTACACAAACACCCCATGCGATAAAAGCGTGTGTCCCTCAGTTAGTTGAGTCAATCATTGTAGGTTTGGTGTCATGGTTGCAGCACAACATATCTCCACTGGTGTTAATGATCATCAGGAAGGTGCCATGGTGTTGGAATGGAAGAACACTTCACATGCAAGTTGATGCTCTGGCTTAATTTGCAACTACGGTAATTATCAATAACTTGTTTATTTTTCCTTTGTGTTATTTGAATTTTGAAGCCAATCCTCTGGTAGCTTCGGCAACTTTTGATTGTGCGGTACATCTCTGGATTTCAGGACTCACTTTGTACTTGTATAAAATTGTGATTTTTTTTTCTCCATATTTTTCTGATTAATTAACAAACAAAACGTATAAATGGATATAGTTGTTAATTGCAGTCCTTTGTTGGTTTGTTTTGAGTGCTCCCCAATGAAATATCTTACTGCCAATAGTAGTGCATTACCAGAAGTCACTATATTATCACGCCTTCTTTTGTAACACATTCTCAGCTTTCTGTGGTTTTGCATGATGGATCCACAGACTCACAGCTACCCACACACTGCAACACCCAGAGTAGCAATTCAACACAAAGTGACAACGTGTGTCAAAACCAAATTTATCATGCAGGGATTCTGCTCATAATCATACATCACTACAAAACTTTTTTTCTTTTTTTTTGTGATGTCTGCAGAGTTTGTGTAGGCTGCTTCTTTTTTTTTTTGTACACTGCCTGGAGTTTTCTTTGATTTTCAAAGCTTATCACTGCACCAGCAGCGACTGTGGCTGATATGACACTGTTCGTATCACACGAGTGGAAAAAGATAAATGGATTCAGAAATAATCTTTCAAGCTCAAATGTGTTATTCTATGAAGTAGAGCGTTCAACTTTTGAGATAGCCACCACTTTGTAATTAATTATACCTGTGTGGCTAAGCCCCTAAATTTCATAAATATGGTTCTGTCATGCTGTGTCACTTTGTGTTCATGTGAGTGCTGCAGTGGGTGGGCAGCTGTGAGTCTGTGGAGCTATCACCCAAAGCGCAGAAAACTCTTGTTGTGAAACATCAGAGTTAGTGTTAAAAATGGGAGGTGACTAATAGAGAATTTATAAAGTGTAGGCTGTACGATGGGCAAAAGCCTCACCTCAGCTGCTTTACACTTTTATAACCTTCTGTGTGTTACTTTGATTTCGCATTTAGCGATTTAGATATCATGCGTTTATGCTGATTTCACTCTGATTTGCCCGGAGGTTACAATTAAATGAAAATTAAATGAAAAACAACTGATCATTCCAGCCAGTAAATCACACTGGTGTGATGGCTTTCCATTAACCTTTACGTATAAAGGCCCCCTGATGACATGATTAGAGGTGAGGATGGGATTTTACTGAGCAGCTTCTGTTTTGTCAGCATATAAACCCTTGTTGTAAACATACCTCACACAGTTTACAGGAGCTGCAAGCACGAATTAAAGAATTTTACGAGTTTCAGTGTACAATCTGAGCATCCTGTAGATGTTAAGTGTTAAAGTGAAGCTCCTGCACTTTGGTGTGCATCATTCTTCTGTGGACTACAAGGCAACGATTAAAAAAAAAAAAAAAAAAAGAACATGGGTTGACTAATACACACATCATTACATTGGGCCTTGCATGCCTCTTTGTGCCATGCCTGCATGCATTTTTAGTTTGCTCATTGGCTGGCCTCGAGTGAGAAATCTCTTATATAAGCTCTCCAAAGCTTCAGTTCTAAAACAGTTACAACACAGAGGGCTCTGCGGCTATTTTAATCCTGCAGTGATTCAGCTTTGTACTAAATATGATTGAGGAGGAAAATATAGTTTATATAGTGTGCCTTTATGAGTACAGCGTTATTGATGCTTTTGGCAGAAAGGGGTAGGAGGCCTTTCTAAGATGCTTTGATGGGAAGCTTTAAATATACGAACAGAAATCTGCTCGTGCGGCATAATTTTTGTTCATGCATCGATCTGGGAGACAGCTTCTGTGTCCTCAGTGGCAAGTACAAGCTCCAGTGTTTGTCAGTCACACAAAAACAACACCTCAGTGTATACAAGCAGCCCCGCGTACACATACACAATAAATCAAGGCTGTCTGCAGAGTCAACACACACATGCTATTGTAAACTACGAGGCACTTTTTATGGAGCAATTTCATAGTTGCGGCACAGACACGGTGTGGGTTAATGAGTCAGCGCTCTACTGTGTGTTTAATCAGAGATACTTCGATTCCAGATGTTTTGTGGGGATTTCTGTCACATCTCTTTCCTTCCCTGCTGCCCCCCATACGTGCAGCTCTGCGGTTTCTAAAGTGACATCTGTGTTCTGTTTCATGCGCCGCCGCCACATGTTGCGGAGCGCGGTGGACATAAAAAGGCTCAGAGTGCAAAGCAAAAAGGGGCCTCCGACGGCAGACGGTGGAAAATATCGCTGTTAAACCAGAAGTGTTGAGTGTTTTTAACTCGAAAATGGACTAGTTCTGCTGTTTGATGTCTTTTTGGCAACCGCTTGCGCTCGTTCACACACCAGAACGGCCGATGAGTCAAGATTTCAGGCCTGTTGCAAATGAACTATGATGGCGTTCACCGGTTTCTGCTTTTCCTCATGCTTGTAAAGTTGAGTTTTAAGAGTGAGGGGAGTCGTATTTATCTGTTTCTTTTTATGCTCCTATATCAGAGTCAAAGCTGCGAGCCAAAATATAACTGAGTTAGCTTTTAGCTGCAGCTCAGACTGACAAAAACGTACAGAAGTCCACATGATGTTCCCTCTGCAGCCCTGCTTGTGATCCCCTCAGGGTGTTCTATACATTAAAGTCATGGACTGTTCCCAGTTTGTGGTGTGAAATCAGCTGCTCTGCTTTTAAAAAAATGTCCTCAAAAGACTGATGTATTAACAGACTGCCAACTTCGAGCTGGTCGAGTAACTGTTCCTGGATCTGTTTTTTCTTAAACGAGGTCGCGACCCAGAATGAGTCACTGGTGCGTCTGGTAGCCACCACCATGAGGAGATTAACATAATTAGAATGTTTTTTTAACTGAGCATGGGTCAAACAATGAGGCTGAAATGTGCAGCTTTGCTCCAGACGTCCTTATTTAGTCGTGTAGTTTCAGCTCTCGGTCAGAAAAGTTCAAACAGTGATTGAATTAGTCACATTTTCAAGCCCGGATTGTGCTGTGACAGAATGTGGAGGATGGGCTGAGCTGATCGGAGGAGTGTTTTTGCAAGTTTGACACATACTCAGCAAGAATTGTGTTGGTCTGGAAACGTTCTGAGAAAGTTCTGCAAAGTTGAAGTCAAGTTTTCGATGATAAGTTCTTTTGTAGTTGTCGGAATGTTCTTCTTAAAGGCTGGACGACGGCTTTTCTTGAAATGAGAACGTTCTTCCTTTGTTATCACGTAACATTGTGTGAATGTTCTATAATTTGTTCCCTCGATAACATCCCCAAAACATCCTCAGAAATTTGCAACCGAGACTGTCACGTTGCAGTAATGTTTTATAAATCCACAGTCTAACATCTTGCAAATATTTCTTAAACATTGGTTTGCAAACGTTCTTCCTTTGTTGTCGTTTAACATTGTGTGAATGTTTCATGGAGGAACGTTCTATAACGTGTTACCTCGATAACATCCCCAAAACATCCTCGGAAATTTGCAACCGAACATTGCAGGAACGTTTGATAAAAACCATAATCAGCCGAGGATCTTGCAAATATTTCTTAAACATTGGTTTGCAAACGTCCTTCCGTTGTTGTCATGTAACATTGTGTGAATGTTCTATAATGTGTTACTTCGATAACATCCCCAAAACATCCTTAGAAATTTGCAACCGGAACTGTCACGTTGCAGGAACGTTTTATGAAACCATAATCAGCCTAAGATCTTGCAAATATTTCTTAAACGTTGGTTTGCAAACGTTCTTCTTTTGTTATCATGCAACATAATCTGATAACATCCTCTGAATGTTCCAATAAAACACTGTCTTGGTGAATGTTTAACTTCACAGGTGCATTATTCAAACTGAGCACTATCTTCTTATAACATTAGACTGAAATGTTTTCCATCTAACAGTATTAGAACTTGCAGGTAATGTTTGCCAAAGTTGCCCAAACATTCAATGCTATCAGCGTAGGCGGCTGCTTGAAAGTGAAATCTGTGTCCAACATGTAATTCCATCCAGATCAGTGTGTACTGGTCCACTCTGGTGTTGGTTTGACACTCTGTGGAACAAAGCAGGTCAGCAGCTCTACACATGAACTTCCAGGACCTCACTGGAGAGCTCAAGTCATCATGTGACTCCAGGACTGCGGACAGTCATGTGGGTTGGATTACCTCCAGCAACACATTAGAACAGAGCACTTTAAATTAAAACATCTCTTCTTGCAGCCTACAGTTGATCTGACAACACAAACCCCCAGACTCTCTGTTTCCGCTACTTTCTCTCTCTCTCTCCGCTGTGCACTGACCTTGGCGGGCCGGCGGGCTCCCAGTAGCGGCAGAACAGGTGCAGTCCGTCGGCGTTGACGATGTGCTGCAGGTCGGTGTAGGGGACTCCCTGCGGGCTCCGCCGCGGAGCAGCTCCCGGTTCGGGCATGGAGGGGTCTGCAACAGAGACGCGGAACAGCGATAAGAGCACGTCGCCGCCGCCGTAGAGGTAGCAGCTGAAGCCGGCGACGAGCAGGCAGGTCGCGGCGGTGGCGGCGTTCATTGTTTACTGTTGTTGTTGTTTTGTTTGTTTTGTTTTTGGTGCGTGCGGTAAGCGTGCATCGGTGATGTGTGCGGGTCTGGGTAGCGAGGATCTAATGCTGAGCGGCGCACACACACACAACCACGGACACACACACACACACACACAGGCAGGCAAACGACCGGCGTGACGTAAGCAGACCATATGCTCCACTCTCTGCAAGCTCTCTCTACCATCCCTCCCTCTCTCTCTCTCTCAAGCTCTCTCGAGAATTCAAGTTCTGTTCGTTGACAGCCTGCGCGAGTCCAAAGTCCATCATATTACAATATGTTCGTCTATTTAATTAAAAATAAATAAAATAAAATCATCTGCTAAAAACTGATCGTGCTTCATGGTAAAGCTGTTTCATCGTCCTCAAATTTGTTCATCTCCTTCCATTAAAGAAAAGGCAAAATTCACAATAGTCACTAAAATAACTGGAAAATGAAAAAAGTAATAATAAATAAAAAATTTCTAATTTATAATTTAGTGAAATAAGGCATTTCTTTTTAATTGTGGTTGGAAAGAATAATTAAAAAAAAAAAAAAACTGTCCTGGACAAATTAGAGCACTTTGCTGATGAGCAGTGTCATGATTTTCATTACATTTTTATTTATTATTACTTTTGTCAATTTCACCTTATTTCAGCAGTTTTTTTTACTTCTTTAATGGGAGGATATGAATACATTTGAGGATAACTGTACATAGTATACAGCTGCTTTTATCTGAATCAAGCAGTCATAACGTCCAACACATATCATTATATTTATGCAACTTTTGCATTTTCACAGTTTATAGTATAATCATGAAAACAATTTGGTTATTGCCAATTCATTTTAAATAATTAGACCCCTGACATAAGTTATAACTTCAAAATGGTCTTATTATCATTGATATTTAAATTCCTGGCATAAAAAAAAAATTATGTCAACTCACCAATCAAAAGCTGTGCCAGCTTAGCCAACACTAGCGAGGAACTTGTGCTAGCTGGCCAGTGCTACAGCAAGCTAAACAAAAAAAGGCTAACACAACAGTTTAATTGTTGGCAATAATTTTAAAATAATAGGGACATGACATAATGTATAACTGTATTATGTTCTTATTATTATTGATATTAAAATTCCTATAAAAATAAAGTCACTGATCAGTAGTGGTACTTAGCCAACACCAGCAAGGAATTTAACCTAGCTAGCTAGTGCTACAGCAAGCTAATTATTAGCTTAATGTAAAGCCAGCCTGTCAGCCTTTTAGGCAGGTACTAACACATTCTTTTAACTACTTGTTAGCTAATATATCATTTTATTTGATAATGGTGAACGTATTTTATCTGAAATCAAGGCCAGAGTACCGAAAATCCCTGATGTCGATGCAGGCTATCACATACAAAATTATTTTAGATTGTTTTTAAAAACAGCTTTATATTTGAGAATTAATTTTAAAACACTGGGTCTAGACATATGTTATAACTTAAATGTAACTTAATCATCATTGATAATTCAATCCCTGACATAAAATTAATTTACCAGGGGTGCTTAGCCAACACTAAAGAGGAATCCAAGCTAGCTAGCCAGTGCTACAGCTACCCAATATAGTAAAATGTTATTCGCTTGACGGAAAGTCAGCTAGTTAGCCTTTTAGACAGATAATAATGCATGTCTTTACTGTCGGTTCACTACCTGGTTAACTTTTATATCATTTGTATTAGATGATGGTAAAGACAATTTATCTGAATTCTAGGCTAGAGTATTGAAAACCACTGATGTTCATGTAGGCTAACATGTGAAAATGACTTTAGATCATTGTTGTAAACAGTTTGATATTTGCCAATTAATTTTAAATCAGTGAGTCCAGGACAAATGTTATAACTTTAATATAACTTAATCATCACTAATAATGTAATTTGTGACTTTAAAATAGTGTCAGTCAACACTGGCAAAGAATACAAGCAGGCTAGCGCTACAGAAAGCTAATATAGCATAATGTTATTAGCCTAATGTAAAGCCAGCTTTGAGACAGATAACAACACATTTTACTGCTGGTTAGCTACAGTACAGTACAGTAATATTTTAGAGCTATTCATTTCAAAGTACAAATAAAGTTTCCCGCAGCTACAGAGTATCATAATACTGATCTCCAGTCTAGAGGAACGTTTCCTGAAGGTTTCACAAAATGACTTTCGGGAAACGTTTCCTGAAGGTTCTGCAAAAATAAACAAATAGAAACAAACAAACAAAAACCTTCCGGGAATATTCACTGTAAGTTAGTGTTTGCTGGGAGTAATTATTATTATTATCATTTTAGTCAGACTAATGGATTCATATTAACAATTTAAAGAAATAATTTACGTATCTTATAACAGGAGCTTCTTTTGTGCTCTCAAAATGTCAACATGCTTAAAAAAAACACTTGTTTGGGAATGATTGATTGATTATTGATTGACTGACTGAGCTAAGGCCACCATCTTGCAAGAACTGAAAGGAAAACATCAATACCTATATATTAGTGGTCATGAGGGGACTAATGGTTCTAAATGTAAACCTACATATGGTGTCATTAAAACTGCATCATTGTGCTATAAGGAAGAAACTTAAAAAAAATCTATAACAAACTAAGAAAAGAGCCCCTTTAGCTTGCTTTAGTCTAGTTATTTCATTTTCACCAGCTTTTATAACTGCCCCTCCAGTCTCAAACACTCCACATCTGCATCACCAACAAACCAGATTCTTTTGAATGAAATCTTTCTTAGTCCTTTTTCCCTCTCTCTGCTGCACACACACACACACACACACACACACACACATAGCAGTAATCTTTATTCTCTCTGAAGCCCAACACCCCACCCCCCAGCTCCCTCTCCATCCCTCAGATCACCGCTGAGGCTTCTCTGGCATCAGGTCCAGCCTGGATCTGCGGCGCGTTCACGGTGCGCAGCATTACAATGAAGCGCACAGTTTGCGTGGCGCACCGCCGGAGGTAAAAATAGCAGCGGTGTGAGGCTATTTCCTGAGGTGATCGGGTGTCGTCCTTCAGCATGTAGGCTGGCTCACCCTCCTTTTTAAAAAAATGTAAAATATAGGTCACAGCCAGTGATAATGAATCAATTAAAACAGATGAGTAAACTATCAGGCTGCCGCTTGGTGCTTCAAAAACCCACACCCCTGCTAGGAATTTATCAATTTCCATCCTTATAATTTATATCACTCAGTCATAACCCAGCAGCCCCGGACAGGAAAATGCGCACAAAATGATTGATTGATAAGATGACAGCGTCTCTTTCTGCTGCCAATTCTGTGGCTCACGTCAGCTGCAGGATCCCCAGAGCGCAAAAGGAAAAACAGAGGATCATGTGCACCACACATGTGGGAAATAAGCACTATAAGCTTACGTGGATCATATTGGAGAGAAGAGAAAAAGCCCTACTCCTCTTTTGTTTCCATCTCTGCTGACTCCACATAAGGGTTTTGCATGGATGCAGAAAAAAAGAGCACTTAAGCTGACATTATTGTAATTAATCGATTCATCTGCTCTCTGCGCTCTGACAGCTTGTTTTTCTTTTTCTTTTGTGTTTTTTATGGAAATGATGAATGAAGGCAGATAAGTTACACAGCAGAGGTAAACATATATAAACACACACACACACAGCGCGGATGATGGAGATGAAACCCTCCCAGTGCGCCCACAAATCGTCCCGCAGACGCACCGGAGCACAAAGTCTCCTTTACGCATAAGCATCAAAGCGACATAATCCGGTGAGCTGATCGCGGACTAACCTGCACAGGAGCGTCTGCAGCAGAAGTTTCGGCTCCTCTCTCACTCCTTCTCTCTCTCACTCTCTCTCTCCGACGCTTTCCTCTCGCCACCCGCCAAGAGAAGAATGCGGTCGGCGACGTTTGGGGAGAAACTAAATAAGAAATCACACCCTCTCCACCCTCTCTCTCGCTCTCTCTCGCTCTCCCTCTCTGTGCGCACACACACTCATGCGGAGAGGCGGAGTGCTGCTCCCCCTCTCGTTTAGCCTCATTTACCCTTAAAAAAAAAACACGGTTGAGTCCACATGGTTCACATTTCTACGTGCTACAGCCTCATATTTATTTATTAATAGCATCATGTGTCTCTTTCTCCCTCTATGTTTGCTCCAAAGCTGCCACCAGATAAGAGTCTCCAAATTAAATAGGTGTGTTGTCAGTTTCCTCCAAAGTCACCACATGCTTTTGGACTGTTTGGTTGAAGCAATGTCAATAGATTTCTCTCTCTGTGAACACATATAGATTATAGATTTGTTACAATAAACGTGTCAGGAAGGCAGGAAGGAATGTGGAATTAAAACAGGGATTAATACAATAATGCCTCCAAGGGTGCAAACAATGCCCAAAGGTGAGTAACACAACTGCAAACACAACTCCTTTATTTGGCAACCTGTACCTGACACAGAGCGACAAAGCATTCATCTGGACTTATTTCGCTCGCTATTTAACGAATGTCAAGCCCATATTTACTGTTTTAGCTCCGTTTTTGGTCTCCACCAGCTAAAAAAAGAAAAGAAAAAAAAACATGTGGCTCCTTTGTTGCTCGCTTTTAAACTCATTTATAGTCATAACTGAAGCTGATTTGAGCGGTTGCAACGATACAATGCACCCCAGAGTTAAGAGAAACTGCAGCGCTCGTGATAACTCTCTGTGGGTTTGTCGTTTGATCGCTTGCAAGAAAACTCCACAGCGCACCTTTATTTGGAAACCTGCACCTGACACAGAGCGATAAAGCATTCACTTGGACTTATTTTGCTCACTATTTAACAAATGTCAAGCCCATATTTACTGTTTTAGCTCCATTTTTGGTCTCCACCAGCTAAAAAAAACAACATGTGGCTCCTTTGTTGCTCGCTTTTAAACACATTTATAGTCATAATTGAAGCTGATTAGAGCGATTGCAACAATACAATGCACCCCAGAGTTAAGAGAAACTGCAGCGCTCGTGATACTTCTCTGTGGGTTTGTCGTTTCATCTCCTGTTTATGTAGAAGTGTTGGTTGGTGCAGCTTTAAGCTGTAAGAGAAGAAACCTTTAAGGTGATTTGGAAACCTACAGCTGACACAGAGCGGCATAGCGTTGATTTGGACTTGTTTCACTCGCTATTTAACAAATGTCAAGCCCATATTTACTATTTTAGCTCCGTTTTTGGTCTCCACCAGCTAAAAAAAAAACATGTGGCTCCTTTGTTGCTATTTTAAACTCATTTATAGTCATAATTGAAGCTGATTAGAGCGGTTTCAACGTTCCCAGAGTTAAGAGAAACTGCAGCGCTCGTGATAATTCTCTGTGGGTTTGTCGTTTCATCTCCTCTTTATGTAAAAGTGTTGGTTGGTGCAGCTTTAAGCTTTAAGAGAAGAAACCTTCAAGGCGATTTGGAAACCTACAGAGCGGCGTAGCGTTGATTTGGAGTTGCGTTTCTCGCTATTTAACAAACGGCACTCCAGTATTTTCTCTTTTATCTCAGTTTCTAGTCTCCACCAGCTTGTTGCTCTCTTTCAAGCTTATTTATGGCTGCAAATGAAGCCGATTAGAGTTCAAATGCGCCCCAGAGTTAAGAGAAACTGCAGAACTGGTCGCAGTTGTCTGTGGTTTGTCATTTAGAGCAACCACGCTCACAGTCATTTGATCTGTTTTTTATGTAAAAATATTGGTTAGTGCAGCTTTAAGGGGAAAGATCCTGCTCTCAGAGTGCTGAATCACAGCCCACATCAGACCGGTGTTTTAAAACCTCCCTGCAGAAAAGCTAACAAGATGTGAAACTGAATAATGATGTGAAAGTAAATGGCAGTTCAGTCTGATTGCAGGTTGCAACTGATGACTGTCAAAACCAACTTAGCAGCAGCCGAAAAACTCCTTTTTGCTGACCTCTAGTGGCTTAAGTCCAGAAGTAGTTGCACTTTCTTGCGACTTTCAGTCCAGCAGGACAATAAAAACACTGCTTTCAGGCTTTTTATTTTTGTAGGGCTACGAGTGGTCCAGAAGACAAAAGCATATGTTCCTCTGAGTGTTTGGCAAACGTCATGCTGTTATTATTTCATGCATAAAAGCTCTGAGAGAAATTTGATTGTTTTTTTGGACTCTGCACACGAACGCACAGAGAACAGGAGGCTCAATTCGTGCCAAAAAAACAACATAAAAAGGCGTTTTCATCACAGCCGTTACTGGAAATTCTCTTTGTTTCTTCACAACAGAATATGATTCACTGCGTTCCTGTTCCGATAAACAATGACTCATTATACCTGGTTTTGGTTAAAAAAGAACATTGTTGTGGTGTCAAATCTTTTGGGGCGGAACATTGGAAATGAATCTCTCACCACTTCTCTAAGTGTTCACAGGCGCATGCTGACAAAATAAAATATATGGATTTCTAAATCTGCAACAAACGGCAGACATACAGCCGGTGCGAGTTACAAAGGCAATGTGATTTCATGTTTTTGCTCTTACATCCATGTAACTCGAACATCATGCGTGGTATCTGTACGTGCCATCCCAGGAAAGTGAGACAGGAAAGCAGAACATCCTGCGTCCACACTCGAGTCATCGGTTGCATCAATCCACATTTTTTCAGAAGGACGTGGAGATTTCCTGTCGTGGAATTTAAATGTCTTCCTTGGAAAATTCTAATTAAGTCTGTCTGTGCTGGGAACAAAGTTAGCAACGAGAAGTGAAACGCATTTATCTGGTATGTAAATACATGAAACCCATCCATACATCCATACATCCATTATCTATACACCGCTTAATCCTCACTAGGGGGGCTGGAGTCTATCCCAGCTGACTCAGGGTGAAGGCAGGAGACACCCTGGACAGGTAACCAGTCTATAACAGGGCTACACTTAGAGACAGACAACCAAGCACACTCACATTCACACCTACAGACAATTTAGAATCACGAGTTAACCTCAACATGTTTTTGGACCTGTGGGAGGAAGCCGGAGAACCCGGAGAGAACCCACGCTGCACGGGGAGAACATGGAGACTCCACACAGAAGAGACAGAAAGATTGCCCCCATCGGGACGTGAACCAGCGACGTTCATGCTGCGAGGCAACAGTGCTAACCAAGTCCCATACATGAAACCATTTTATTTAAAAGGCAACGTAATAACTACATCTTTAACATCACAGCAGGACATCAATACATCTTTTATTTGAGCAATTGATTGATAGATTTCGGTTTATAAGTTACGATGAATAAACAGTTCATATAAATAGCGTTGCTTGTAATGATGCACAGGTATTGTAAATATATTATAACGTCAAACTAAATGCAGCAAAACTGAATATTGTGTTGATCGGTAAAGTTTTGACACTGGCCCTTATCATATACAAAATTTCCCCTTATTGGAACCTAAACCAGCCACACAGTGCAGGCAGTGCGTAAGCAGACAGCTCTGCATGTCCATATACATACACGTGCATCGTGTTTGTTGTGCGTCTGCGCGATGCTGCGTCTGTGTTTTTGACAGACGGGAGTCCCAGTTATCCAGATAAAATCCTCCTACAGACAGTGTCTGTCACTTCTTCATAGCATCCTCCATGATTCCTCTCAGGACTCAGAAATGCGTCGCCTTGATCTCCTGCGAAACACAAAGGACGGGAGAGATCAAGACAGAGCAGCAGAACCAGACACAAGGAAGTAAAAGAAAGAGAAGATTACGACGATAGAGAGAGAAAAACACCGGGCCGATTCTCAGAAAACATGTTCCAGATTTTCCCTTTTCTCTCCAGTGGCATGAAAGTCTCAGTAGTTTCAGAAGTTAATGAG